AGTACGTTCATCTCTAGGAGACAGAACACGTCTCCTTCCTGAGTGGTATGACGACTGTGTGGTCCCATGGTGTTTATACTTGCGTACTATTGTTTGTAGAGATGAACGTGATACCTTCAGGCGTTTGGAAATTGCTCCCAAGGATGAACCAGACTTGTGGAGGTCTACAATTTGTTTTCTGAGGTCTTGGCTGATTTCATTTGATTTTCCCATGATGTCAAGCAAAGAGGCACTGAGTTTTAAGGTAGGCCTTGAAATACACAGGTACACCTCCAAAGGACTCAAATGATGTCAGTTAGCCTATCAAAAGCTTCAAAAGCCATGACATCATTCTCTGGAATTTTCCAAGCTGTTTAAAGGCACAGTCAACTTAGTGTAACTTCTGACCCACTGGAATTGTGATACAGTGAATTATAAGTGAAATAATCTGTCTGTAAACAATTGTTGGAAAAATGACTTGTGTCATGCACAAAGTGGATGTCCTAAACGACTTCCCAAAACTATAGTTTGTTAACTATGTATGTAAACTTCCGACTTCAACTGTATATTCACAGAGGTTATATGTGTGTTAGGTTAGGTTGCACTAACACTACACAGCTGATTCAAATAATTAAAGCTTGATGATTAGTTTATTATTTGAATCAGCTGTGTAGTGCTAGGGCTAAAACCAAAACGTGCACCCCTTGGGGTCCCGAGGACCGAGTTTGGGAAACTCTGGACTAAGGGAATGACAATGGGGGTTGACTACCGATAGCACCACTGCTACTTTGACAAAGACTTACGCCCGTATGCATATGACCAGTGGCGCGCTGCTATAGGCACCCAATGTATATGTATACATACATTGAGCAGAGAGGGGTAGAAAGAGGAGAAACATACAGCTTAATGTAAAGAGCCTACAGTCGTGGTCAAAAGTTTTGAGAATGACACAAATATTAATTTTCACAAAGTCTGCTGCCTCAGTTTTTATGATGGCAATGTGCATCTACTCCAGAATGTTATGAAGAGTGATCAGATGAATTGCAATTAATTGCAAAGTCCCTCTTTGCCATGAAAAATGAACTTAATCCCCCAAAAAACATTTCCACTGCATTTCAGCCCTGCCACAAAAGGACCAGCTGACATCATGTCAGTGATTCTCTCGTTAACACAGGTGAGAGTGTTGACGAGGACAAGGCTGGAGATCACTCTGTCATGCTGATTGAGTTAGAATAACAGACTGGAAGCTTTAAAAGGAGGGTGGTGCTTGAAATCATTGTTCTTCCTCTGTTAACCATGGTTACCTGCAAGGAAACACGTGCCGTCATCATTGCTTTGCACAAAAAGGGCTTCACAGGCAAGGATATTGCTGCTAGTAAGATTGCACCTAAATCAACCATTTATCGGATCATCAAGAACTTCAAGGAGAGAGGTTCAATTGTTGTGAAGAAGGCGTCAGGGCACCCAAGAAAGTCCAGCAAGCGCCAGGACCGTCTCCTAAAGTTGATTCAGCTGCGGGATCAGGGCACCACCAGTGCAGAGCTTGCTCCGGAATGGCAGCAGGCAGGTGTGAGTGCATCTGCACGCATAGTGAGGCAAAGACTTTTGGAGGATGGCCTGGTGTCAAGAAGGGCAGCGAGGAAGCCACTTCTCTCCAGGAAAAACATCAGGGACAGACTGATATTCTGCAAAAGGTACAGGGATTGGACTGCTGAGGACTGGGGTAAAGTCATTTTCTCTGATGAATCCCCTTTCCGATTGTTTGGGGCATCCGGAAAAAAGCTTGTCCGGAGAAGACAAGGTGAGCGCTACCATCAGTCCTGTGTCATGCCAACGGTAAAGCATCCTGAGACCATTCATGTGTGGGGTTGCTTCTCAGCCAAGGGAGTGGGCTCACTCATAATTTTGCCTAAGAACACAGCCATGAATAAAGAATGGTACCAACACATCCTCCGAGAGCAACTTCTCCCAACCATCCAAGAACAGTTTGGTGACGAACAATGCCTTTTCCAGCATGATGGAACACCTTGCCATAAGGCAAAAGTGACAACTAAGTGGCTCGGGGAACAAAACATCGACATTTTGGGTCCATGGCCAGGAAACTCCCCAGACCTTAATCCCATTGAGAATTTATGGTCAATCCTCAAGAGGTGGGTGGACAAACAAAAACCTACAAATTCTGACAAACTCCAAGCATTGATTATGCAAGAATGGACTGCCATCAGTCAGGATGTGGCCCAGAAGTTAATTGACAGCATGCCAGGGCAGATTGCAGAGGTCTTGAAAAAGAAGGGTCAACACTGCAAATATTGACTCTTTGCATAAACTTAATGTAATTGTCAATAAAAGCCTTTGACACTTATGGAATGCTTGTAATTATACTTCAGTATACCATAGTAACATCTGACAAAAATATCTAAAAACACTGAAGCAGCAAACTTTGTGAAGACCAATACTTGAGTCATTCTCAAAACTTTTGACCACGACTGTATGCTTTGTGAAGTCAGATTAAGCAAAGCAGAACACAGCAGCTCCCATTCATTAGTCACAGTGTGATCTGGAGCATATACGGATAGATAGATGGAGAGAGGGAGCCAGCCCATCAGGGAGAACAGAAGAGATAGATAGATGGAGAGAGGGAGCCATGATGGAAGAAGGAAAAGGGAGAAAGAAAGTAGAAGCCAAAAAAGCACCACATAAAACATCTGTGAATAAACTGCAAATGAACCCAACACCCACGAACACATCTCATACACCCACACCCACGAACACATCCCATACACCCCACCCACGAACACATCCCATACACCCACGAACACATCCCATACACCCAACACCCCACGAACACATCCCATACACCCACACCCACGAACACATCCCATACCACACCCACACCACGACATCCCATACACCACGACACATCCCTACCCCACACCAACACATCCCATACACCCACACCCACGAACACATCCCATACCACCGAACATCACCATACACCACACACCAGAACACATCCCATACACCACACAGAACACAACCATACCCCAACAAACCCACCCACCAGAACACATCCCATACCACCACACCCCCAACACATCCCATACCACCCACACCCCATCGACACACATCCCATACACCCACACCACGAACACACCCTACACCACACCCACCACATCCCATCACCCACCACACCATCCCCCTATACACCACTCGAACACATCCCATACACCCACACACGAACACATCCCACTACACCACCACAAACACATCCATACACCCACACACGAACACATCCAACACCCACCACCACATCAACACATCCCACTACACCCATCACAGAAACACATCCCAACACCACACACATGAACCACCACTCCCCATACACCCACACAACACATCCAAACACACTCCACATACATAACCACCACATCCCATACCAACACTCCCATACCCATCCCACACACAACACACATACCCAACAAACATCCCATACACCCACACACATGAACACATCCCATACACATGAACACATCCCATACACCCACACACGAACACATCCCATACAACATGAACACATCCCATACCCATCACAATACACATCCCATACACTCAACACATGAACACTCCCATACACCATACACAGAACACATCCCATACATACATGAACACATCCCATACACCCAACTCATAACATGAACACATCCCATACACCCACACCCAACACATCCAAAAACATGAACACATCCCATACAACCCACACACCATAAACATGAACACATCCCATACACCCAACACCATAATCATGAACACATCACCACACTGACACATCCCATAACAACATAAACACATCCATACACCCACACCACATCACCCATACAACAACAACACCAATCCCATACACCACCACATAAACATGAACACATCCCATACACACACACATCTACACATAACAAACACATCCCCATACACCCACAACAACATGAACACATCCCATACACCCATAACATGAACCATCCCATACACCATAAACATGAACACATCCCATACACCCATAAACATGAACACATCCCATACACCCATAAACATGAACACATCCCATACACCCATAAACATGAACACATCCCATACACCCATAAACATGAACACATCCCATACACACCCATAAACATGAACACATCCCATACACCCATAAACATGAACACATCCCATACACCCCATAACATAACACAATCCCATAACACCCATAAACATGAACACATCCCATACAACCCATAAACATGAACAACACATCCCATACACCCATAAACATGAACACATCCCATACACCCATAAACATGAACACATCCCTAACAAACTACACACCATCACCCAAACATGAACACATCCCATACACCCATAAACATGAACACATCCCATACACCCACACCCATAAACATGAACACATCCCATACACCCATAAACATGAACACATCCCATACACCCAACACCCATAAACATGAACACATCCCACATACACTCTTTCCCAAACACACATGCTGACCCACAAGCATTAGGAAACAAAATGGCAACCAAAAAGGAAGAAGATGAGGAAGCGTGTTGGGTATTTCTGTTGATGCCTCAGTCACAGCAGACTGTTAAGCTGTGGCTGTCTGGTCATGGTGAACAACACTTCACAACACCTTGTGGCTACAACAACACTATGACTGGATGAATCTACATGATGCGAGGAAACACATTGCCCTCAGCTGTAGAATTATTGTAGATTTTTGCAGATCCTGTGATTTAGGTTATTCATGTATTCTTCATGGGTGTTATTACATGACCAAAGGTCTTCTGATGACAAAATGCTCTTTAAATGTAGTCTTATTTAAGCAGGAAGTCCCAATGAGGTCAGAAGACCTCTTTCCCAAAGCAGAACTTTTACAACTTAGGGGGAGATTTGCTGCATTTCATCTGTGATCTTAGCAGCTTCTTCTGGCCCCTTAACAAATAGAGGTGTGTGTGTGTTCCCTCTCACCTGTGATCTTGGCAGCCTTCTCCTCCTGATTGGCCCTGTTCTCCTTCACATAGGTGTGTGTGTGTTCCCTCTCACCTGTGATCTTGGCAGCCTTCTCCTCCTGATTGGCCCTGTTCTCCTCATTCTCCTCGTCCTCCTCCTCAAAGTCGTCAAGGTTGCCGATGTCGGCCTGCTTCATACTCATCAGGCTGGCCAGGCTCTGCATGTCCTCGTCACTGAGACACACACACACACACACACACACACACACACACAATCAGATTTTATTTGTGACAAATCTACCAAAGAGAAACCACAACATACTGCCATTTTGTACAGGCCAACAACTCTCTCTTTTATATCTCTCTCTCCCTCTCTCATAGCAGGCAACCATCTCACAGGGGAGGGAGGCCGATCTCACACCTACTGTAAGACCATGTAACACATCAAGTCTCAGGATGTACAGGGAATATCATGACCTGTCTATAGAGTGTTAGTAAACAGGGAATATCATGACATGTCTATAGAGTGTTAGTAAACAGGGAATATCATGACATGTCTATAGAGTGTTAGTAAACAGGGAATATCATGACATGTCTATAGAGTGTTAGTAAACAGGGAATATCATGACCTGTCTATAGAGTGTTAGTAAACAGGGAATATCATGACATGTCTATAGAGTGTTAGTAAACAGGGAACTATCATGACCTGTTATAGAGTGTTAGTAAACAGGGAATCATCATGGACATGTCTATAGAGTGTTAGTAACAGGGAATATCATGACATGTCTATAGAGTGTTAGTAAACAGGGAATATCATGACCTGTCAAGGTTGGTTAGTAGAACAGGGAATATCCTGATCTGTCTATAGAGTGTAGAAACAGGGAATATCATGACCTGTCTATAGAGTGTTAGTAAACAGGGAATATCATGACCTGTCTATAGAGTGTTAAGATATCATGACAGTGAATATCATGACCTGTCTATAGAGTGTTAGTAAACAGGGAATATCATGATGTCTGTAGAGTGTTAGTAAACAGGGAATATCATGACCTGTCTATAGAGTGTTAGTAAACAGGGAATATCATGACATGTCTATAGAGTGTTAGTAAACAGGGAATATCATGACCTGTCTATAGAGTGTTATTAAACAGGGAATATCATGACATGTCTATAGAGTGTTAGTAAACAGGGAATATCATGACCTGTCTATAGAGTGTTAGTAAACAGGGAATATCATGACATGTCTATAGAGTGTTAGTAAACAGGGAATATCATGACCTGTCTATAGAGTGTTAGTAAACAGGGAATATCATGACATGTCTATAGAGTGTTAGTAAACAGGGAATATCATGACCTGTCTATACAGTGTTAGTAAACAGGGAATATCATGACCTGTCTATAGAGTGTTAGTAAACAGGGAATATCATGACGGAGAGTGAGAAAGGGAGAGCTGGACCAGAGAGAGAGCACTACTCTCCTGTCTCCGTAAGCAATGTGTCCTTCATGCAGCGGCTGCTGAGGAGATGAAATGTGCACGTGTGTGTGTTGTGTGTGTGTGTTTAGTTGTATGTTTCTGTGTGTGCGTGCATGTATGTTTCTGTGTGTGTGTGTGTGTGTGTATTAGGGGGCAAGGAGAAAACACACTCTGCCGAGGGGTTTCTCATCCAGTCACCACCAGATAGATAACACCCTGTGATTAACTCTACCTCTCTCTCCTTCCCGCTTTATTTATCCTCCTCTTTCTCACTCCCTCCCTCTCCCCCACCACCACCACCTCTCTCCCTCCTCTCTCTCCCTGGCTCTCTCTTTCTCCCCCTCTCTCTCACTGGCTCTCTCTTTCTCCTCCTCTATCTCACTCCTTCCCTCTCCCCCACCACCACCACCTCTCTCCCTCCTTCTCTCTCTCCCTGGCTCTCTCTTTCTCCTCCTTTCTCTCACTCCTTCCCCCCCCCACCCCTCCATCTCGCTCTCTTTTCTGTGGTGGCAGGCCAGACAACAGAAGCAGGCCAGACATCAGATGCTGGCCAGACAACAGAAGAAGGCCAGGCAACAGAAGCAGGCCAGGCTTCAGAAGCAGGCCAGGGAACAGAAGCAGGCCAGGGAACAGAAGCAGGCCAGGCAACAGAAGCAGTCCAGGCAAACAGAAGCATGCCAGGCAAACAGAAGCAGGCCAGGCAAACAGAAGCAGGCCAGGCAAACAGAAGCAGGCCAGGCAAAGAGAAGCAGGCCAGGCATCAGAAGGAGGCCAGGCATCAGAAGGAGGCCAGACATCAGAAGCAGGCCAGGCAACAGAAGCAGGCCAGGCAACAGAAGCAGGCCAGGCAATAGAAGCTCATTTTAACTGACGTGATGGAGTTTATTTGTGTGTAGTGACATTGTTCTCCAATGGGTTAAGAGGGGTTACACACTTCTGCTCCCCGGTCCCCCTGCACAACAAAGGAGCTTGCTCTGCTCTGCTTTAACGGTATGTGTGTGACAGCAAGCTCATACAAAATAGCACTAGGTTTTATCAAAGGGACTGAGGAGAGAGAGAGGAGAGAGAGAGAGAGAGAGAGAGCATAGAAAGAGTGAGAGTGAATGCTGGAGAGAATATGATCCATTGAATGAGAGATATTCTCACTCTGAAGCCGGGGTGACTGGGGGTTGATTCCTCTAGCTGACTGTTATTATACAGAGACTAGTACTATACAGAGACTGGTATTATACAGGTATTATACAGAGACAGGTATTATACAGAGACAGGTATTATTACAGAGGCCTGGTATTATACAGAGACTGGTATTATACAGAGACTGGGTTATTATTACAGAGGACAGGTATTATACAGGTAATTATACAGAGACTGGTATTAGACAGAGACTGGTTATTATACAAACGAGGACTGGTATACTACAGAGGGACTGGGTAGTATACCGAGGACTGGTATTATACAGGTATATATTACAGAGGACAGGTATTCATACAGCGACTGGTATTATACAGAGACTGGTATTATACAGAGACTGGTATTCATACAGGTTTTTTTTTTTTGATTATACAGAGACTGGTTCTTATACAGAGACAGGGATTTATACAGGTATTTTATACAGAGACTGGTATTATACAGCGACAGGTATTATACAGAGACTGGGCATTATACAGAGGACTTGGTATTATTTATAAAGAGGACAGGTCTTATGACAGAGACAGGGTCATTATACAGGTATCTTACAGAGGACTGGTATTATACAGAGACTGGGTATTCTTTTTGTGGTAAACAGAGACTGGTATTATACAGAGACTGGTTATTATACAGGTATTATACAGGACAGTATTATACTAGAATGGTTATTATACAGAGACAGGTATTATACAAGATAGGTATTATACAGAGACTGGTATTATACAGAGACAGGTATTATACAGAGACTGGTATTATACAGAGACTGGTATTATACAGAGACAGGTATTATACAGAGACTATTATACAGAGACAGGTATTATACAGGTATTATACAGAGACTGGTATTATACAGAGACTGGAATTATACAGAGACTGGTATTATACAGGTATTATACAGAGACAGGTATTATACATAGACTGGTATTATACAGAGACAGGTATTATACAGAGACAGGTATTATACAGGTATTATACAGAGACTGGTATTATACAGAGACTGGTATTATACAAGACTGGTATTATACAGAGACTGGTATTATACAGGGTATTATACAGAGACTGGTATTATACAGAGACTGGTATTATACAGAGACTGGTATTATACAGAGACTGGTATTATACAGGTATTATACAGAGACTGGTATTATACAGAGACAGGTATTATACAGGTATTATACAGAGACTGGTATTATACAGGTATTATACAGAGACTGGTATTATACAGAGACTGGTATTATACAGGTATTATACAGATACTGGTATTATACAGAGACTGGTATTATACAGAGACTGGTATTATACAGAGACTGGTATGCCGTGTGTGTGTGTGTGTGTGTGTGTGTGTGTGTGTGTGTGTGTGTGTGTGTGTGTGTGGACTTACGTGGCCTTGCCCTCACGGAGGAAGATGCAGGAGAGGGAGAACTGTAGCGTGGCAGACACCACCTTCTTGGAGAGGGGCTTGAACTTGAGCTTGACGTCAGTCTGTGTGGGCATGGGGCTGGCATACTGCTTCATGTTGATGCTGCTGGTCGCCAGAGCCTTTCTACGACCTGAAGGAGACTCCTGAGAGATGGAGGGAGGGAGAGGAGGTGGAGAGAGGAGGGAGGGGAGAGGGAAGGGAGGGAGAGGAGGGTGGAGAGATGAGGGAGATGAGAGGATGGAGGAGGAGGGAGTGGAGGAGAGGGTGGACCGGAGGAGGAGGGGGAAGAGACGTGCGGGGAGGAGGAGTGAGAGAGTGAGGTGAGAGAGTACGGAGAGGCGAAGGAGAGAAGCGACTGGGGTAGGAGGAAGCTTAAGGAGGCGAGAGAGGACGGTGAGAGAGAGGAGCGGTGAGAGAGAGGGAGGGGGGGAGGAGGGGGGGGTGGAGAGAGGAGGTGGAGAGAGGAGGGAGAGAAGGAGGTGGAGAGAGGGGGGGAGGAGGTGGAGAGAGGAGGGGGAGAGAGGAGGGGGAGAGAGGAGGGGAGAGGAGGTGGAGAGAGGAGGTGGAGAGAGGCTGGAGAGGATGGTGGAGAGAGGACCGGTGGAGACGAGGAGGTGGAGAGAGAGTGAGGTGGAGAGAGGACGGTGAGAAGAGGGTGGAGGAGGGTGGAGAGAGGAGGTGGAGAGAGGAGGTGAGAGGGATGGGCACGAGAGGAGGGAGATGAGAGTGAGGGAGAGAGGAGGTGGAGAGAGGAGGTGGAGAGAGGGAGAAATACTTGTTACAGTCTGGTGGGTAGATTGAATGTGTTTTGTGCTGATGTCAAATAAAGGAGTCATATTTATATTTCTGTCACCATTGCTCTATTCCAAATAGCCTCTTCCCAGCGGCACTAGATCTGAAACCATTGGATAGCTTTAGAAAATAATGGCACAAAGTCACATTACTAAAACTGCCATACCAATCCAAATCCATTCTGATCTTCAAAAGTGCTTACAGGTAGGAGCTAGGGGCAGATATGGAACTGGGCCCATGCCACCACAGCCCTGGTAAAAGGCATTATGGGATTGGAACTAGAGAAGACCGATGTCCTGTGTCGTAGGCTGCTCACACAACACATGGAATGAAATAATGAAACGTCTTAGAGGGGTGTCAGAATTCTAGATAGGGAACAAAACGCACCCACACACTTACGCCCAAAGGTTTGGAAACCAAAACACTGATACATCTAGTCTCTTTCTCCTCTGGGCGTTTAGCTCTGCCTTGCTGTCAGAGAACAGAGGATTTACATGCTGCCTCACTGTGTTGATACGACACCCGGGCCATTCTGCCTTCTCTCTTTCTCTCCCCCGCTCGCTGGCTTTTCTCTCTCTCTCGGTCTGTCTTGTGTCCTGGAAGCACTGCCTGGAGTTCTCAGTTAAACAAATGTGTCTTTGGGGCACTGTGTGTGGGGAGGGAGGGGAGGGAGGGAGGGAGTGTCATCTCAATCCTGCATAATAACTGAAATTAAGACAGTAGCTAAGTCTTGTCAGTATTCTAGATAGGGAACAACACACAGACGTGAAATGAACCAGCGGCTGCCAGACAACTGAATCTCTCTCTCTCTTTCCCTCTCTCTCTCCATCTCACTGTCTTTCCTCTCTCTCTCCATCTCACTATCTGTTGGTCTGTCCTCCATCTCACTGTCTGTGTCTCCTCTCTCTCTCCTCTCTCTCTCTCTCTCTCCTCTTCTCTCCCCATCTCACGCTCTCTCCTCTCCTCTCTCTCTCTCTCTCTCCTCTCTCTCTCCCTCTCCTCTCTCTCTCCCCATCTCACTATCTGTTGGTCTGTCTCTCCATCTTACTGTCTGTCGGTCTGTCTCTCCATCTTACTGTCTGTGTCTCCTCTCTCTCTCTTTCTCTCCCTCTCCCCATCTCACTCTCTCTCTCTCTCACTGTCGGTCTCTCTCCTCTCTCTCTCCCTCTCCTCTCTCTCTCTCTCCATCTCACTGTCGGTTTGTCTGTCTCCCTCCATCTCACTGTCTGTCTCCCTCCATCTCACTGTCTGTCTCCCTCCATCTCACTGTCTGTCTCCCTCCATCTCACTGTCTGTCTCTCCATCTTACTGTCTGTCGGTCTGTCTCTCCATCTTACTGTCTGTCGGTCTGTCTCTCCATCTTACTGTCTGTCGGTCTGTCTCTCCATCTTACTGTCTGTCGGTCTGTCTCTCCATCTTACTGTCTGTCGGTCTGTCTCTCCATCTTACTGTCTGTCGTCTGTTCTTCCATCTTACTGTCTGTCGGTCTGTCTCTCCATCTTACTGTCTGTCGGTCTGTCTCTCCATCTTACTGTTGTCGGTCTGTCTCTCCATCTACTGTCTGTGGTCTGTCTCTCCATCTTACTGTCTGTCTGGTTGTCTCTCCATCTTACTGTCTGTCGGTCTGTCTCTCCATCTACTTACTGTCTTGCCCTTGTCGGTCTGTCTCTCCATCTTACTGTCTGTCGGTCTGTCTCTCCATCTTACTGTCTGTCGGTCTCCTTGTCTGCTCTCTCATCATCTACTGTCTGTTGATCTGTCTCTCTCCATCTCACTGTCTGTCGGTCTGTCTCTCCATCTTACTGTCTGTCGGTCTGTCTCTCCATCTTACTGTCTGTCGGTCTGTCTCTCCATCTTACTGTCTGTCGGTCTGTCTCTCCATCTTACTGTCTGTCGGTCTGTCTCTCTCCATCTCACTGTCTGTTGATCTGTCTCTCTCCATCTTACTGTCTGTTGATCTGTCTCTCTCCATCTTACCGTCTGTTGATCTGTCTCTCTCCATCTCACCGTCTGTTGATCTGTCTCTCTCCATCTCACCGTCTGTTGATCTGTCTCTCCATCTTACCGTCTGTTGATCTGTCTCTCTCTATCTCACTGTCTGTTGATCTGTCTCTCTCCATCTTACTGTCTGTTGATCTGTCTCTCTCCATCTTACTGTCTGTCTGTCTGTCTCTCTCTATCTCACTGTCTGTTGATCTGTCTCTCTCCATCTTACCGTCTGTCTGTGTCTCTTCTCTCTCTGTGTTTCTAATCTCCTCTCTCTCCAGTCTTCTCTCTTTCTCTCCACATAACATATTGTAGCCAATGGCAGGCCTGTATTCTTGGCCAGTGTTCAGTGTGTGTTTCAGTGTTTGAGGTTTGCCTGCGGCAGTTTATATCCTGGACTTCTCCTGTCTTTTAGTCTGCTATACCTTCACAGGCTAAATGAAACAAAGAAGCCATCACACACACACACACACACACACACACACACACACACACCACACACACACACACACACACAACACACAAACATACACAGACACACACAGACAACACACAAACATACACAGACACACCACACACAGAGACAACACACAAACATACACAGACACACACACACAGACACACACACAGACAGACACTTAGCCTATATGCTAATCAAAAAGCCATAGAAAACCCCCACAGTCCTTTTAGGCAGCAGAATGGGCCCTAAGTAGTCAACCCATAGAAAACCCCCACAGTCCTTTTAGGCAGCAGAACGGGCCCTAAGTAGTCAACCCATAGAAAACCCCCACAGTCCTTTTAGGCAGCAGAACAGGCCCTAAGTAGTCAACCCATAGAAAACCCCACATCCTTTAGGCAGCAGAACGGGCCCAAGTAGTCAACCCATAGAAACCCCCACAGTCCTTTTAGGCAGCAGAACAGGCCCTAAGTAGTCAACCCATAGAAAACCCCCACAGTCCTTTTAGGCAGCAGAACGGGCCCTAAGTAGTCAACCCATAGAAAACCCCCACAGTCCTTTTAGGCAGCAGAACGGGCCCTAAGTAGTCAACCCATAGAAAACCCCCACAGTCCTTTTAGGCAGCAGAACGGGCCCTAAGTAGTCAGCCCATAGAAAACCCCCCACAGTCCTTTTAGGCAGCAGAACAGGCCTAAGTAGTCAACCCATAGAAAACCCCCACATCCTTTTGGCAGCGAAACGGGGCCCTAAGTAGTCACCCATAGAAACACCCCCACAGTCCTTTTAGGCAGGAAAGAACGGGCCCTAAGTAGTCAGCCCGAAGAAAACCCCCACAGTCCTTGTAAAGGCAGCAGAACGGGCCCAAGTAGTCAACCCAAAAAACCCCCACAGTCCTTTTAGGCAGCAGAACGGGCCCCAAGTAGTCAACCCTTAGAAAACCCCCACAGTCCTTTTAGGCAGCAGAACGGGCCCTAAGGAGTCATGCTCTGCTGGGTGCAGTACCTGACAAAGACCTCTATTTCCGTCTCACATCACGCCATTGGAAGAGCAGCACATATACATAGACTAGACACACTGGATTAGAGAGGATCTGATATGGGCTCTTTACATCGCTGCTGTTGGCTGATGTCTTCACACACCTATACAAGGCAGATGCTTGCCACTCACTCACTCACTCTCTCTTTCTCTCTCTTCCTCCTCTCTCTCTCCCTTCTCTCTCTCTTTCTCCTCTCTCTCTCTCCCTCCTCTCTCTCTTTCTCACTCTCCCTTTCTTTCGCTCTCTTCCTTCTCTCTTCCTCCTCTCTCTCTTCCTCCCCTCTCTCTTTCTCCTCTCTCTCTTTCTCCTCTCTCTCTTCCTCTCCTCTCTCTTTCCTCTCCCTCTCTCCCTTTCCCCCTTCCTCCTCTCTCTCTTCCTTTTCTCTCTCTTTCTCCTCTCTCCCTTCCTCCTCTCTCTTTCTCTCTCCCTTTCTCCTCTCGCCTTTCTGCCCATCGCTTCTCCTCTCCTTCTATCCTCATACCCTCTCCTCTCTCCCTTTCTCGCCTCGTCCTACTAGCCTGACGCCGTCATACCTACTCCCTAGCTCTCTTACGCATCCTCCTCGTCCTTCCACCTCACCTCCTCCTCTCGTTTCTACTCTCTCCCTTCCTTCTGTCTCTCGACTCCGTCACTTTCCTTTCGTCTACCTGCTTCCCTCTCGTCTCTTCCTCCCCTAGCTACTCGTGCAAATCCCTCCTATCGTCTGCTCTCGACATCCCTCTCCTACTCTCTCCTCTCCTCTCCTTTGCCTCCTTCCTCCTCTCATCCCTCGTCCTCTCCTTCTCCTCTCCCTTCTGCCTTCTCTGCCTTCCTCTCTGTCTCTTCTCCTCTCTCTTCTCCTCCTCATCTACTCCTTCCCTTCTCTTCCTTCCTCCTCCTCTCCTTCTTCTCCTCTTCTCTTCTCCTTTCTCTCCTCTCTCTCTCCTCTCTCCTTTCTCCAAGACCACACCCTTCCTTTGATGCGTACATACCTTTCATGCGTCCACTTTCATGGGATTGTGGGATGTTATTAACTTGATAAGCCTACATATTACACAGAGGGGGATGAGAGGAGAGCACATACACATCTCCAATTGGAACTGAAAAAGACAAAGGGAACCACACTGGCAAAACAACGTCTCCCAAACACAACCCACTGCACCTCTACTCTACCAGGCCTGTCCACCTCTACTCTACCAGGCCTCTCCACCTCTACTCTACCAGGCCTCTCCACCTCTACTCTACCAGGCCTGTCCACCTCTACTCTACCAGGCCTCTCACTCTACTCTCAGGCTCTCCACCTCTACTCTACCATGCCTGTCCACCTCTACTTACCAGGTCCCCTCTCCACCTCTACTCTACCAGGCTGTCCACCTCTACCTCTACCAGCCTGTCCCACCCCCAAGCTCCACCTCTACTCTACCAGCCTGTCCACCTCTACTTACAGCCTGTCCACCTCTCCACCTCTACCTACCAGGCCTTCCACCTCTACCTCTAACCAGGCCTGTCCCCACCTCTCCACCTCTACTCTACCAGGCCTGTCCACCTCTATCTACCAGGCCTGTCCACCCTTCCTACCAGCCTCCACTCTACCATACGCCTTGTCCACCTCTACTTACAGCCTGTCCACCTCTACGCTACCAGGCCTGTCCACCTCTCCACGCCTACTCACACGCCTATCCACCAGGCCTGCCACCTCTACTCCTACCAGGCCTGTCCACCTCTACTCTACCGGGCCTGTCCCCCTTTTGGCTTCCACCTCTACTCTACCAGCCTGTCCCCCTCTACCACTTACTTACTCTACCAGGCCTGTCCACCTCTCCTCACTCTCTCTACCAGGCCTGTCCCCTCTACTCCACCTTTCACTCTACTCTACCAGGCCTGTCCACCTCTACTTACCAGGCCTGTCCACCTCTACTCTACAGGCCTTCCACCTCTACTCTACCGGCCCTGTCCACCTCTCTCACCTCCCTACCACATTCTTTCCACCTCTCACCTCTACTCTACCAGGCCTCTCCACCTCTCCATCACCCCTCCTTCACTCTACCTACAGGCCTGTCCACCTCTACTCTACCAGCCTGTCCACCTCTACTCTACCAGGCCTGTCCAACCTCTCCACCTCTACTCTACCAGGCCTGTCCACCTTCCTC